CGTATTAAATAAAAAAGATGGAAGGATTTGATTTCAGATACCCACCACGTAATTTATAATTTTTTAAGTCTCTTTTACATAAGAGAATATTAATACGGACCAAAATCACACCGAAAATTGACTTATTTGATTCTGGTATGTGCAATGTGCATATGGTGCGAAATTTATGCGAGCGGAGGTGGCACGATAAGCATATATGAAACTCAAAAAGAAAATCAATATTCTGGCATAATATGGATAGTTACAAAAATTTAATCTCATTTCAACTTATTTCTAAATACTTTACAGTAGGAATAATGTGTAGTCCCGATTGATAGTTGGTCTCGTAAATAAACTAGGATAAATAAACTTATAATCAAGCAATAGAAAATAAATCAAGAAAGACTTTTTATTTAACAAGAGAGAAATTAGATTTTACCAAATGTCCATTTTATATGGTAAAAGAATATTTTCCTTTGCACATTACCATCATAAAACCGATATTTCTTTACAATAAAATGTAATATACAGTAAAAATAACACAAAAAGTTAATTCCATAAAACCTTGAACTAAATAATAGAGTTATGATAATTATAATCACTAATGATTCAGAAAATTCAAAAGAGTCCTGTCGTTGAAATGGAACTTGTGGGTTATTTGTAGTATATTCGAATAAGGATGATCCAAATAAATTTGTTCTCCCCGTCCATCGATTAAAGAAACGGGTATGATGACAATCCTAAAACCAGGGATGTCAAATCTGAAAATGTCAGAATTTGACATGACGATCGGAGAGTTATTATTAGCGACAGTGGTTGATTTTGTTCTTCATAATGACCTATGATAAAACAGAAGCGTTAGTGGGGTAGAATTGAGTCGAGTTGGCCCATTGATTGCTGGTCATGATGTAAAGTTGGATCTTCGTCAGGTGTTAGAAAATTGTTATTGTGCATCGTGGGAAAACTATTGGTGTAGCTGTAGGAATCATTATAATTAGTATTTGATGAAGTGTGTTGTTTTTCTTGGATATCGGTTGTAGGAAGTTCATTATTGTGGTATCAATTACAATAAATTGATATTGCTATTTAGCGAAGTATTATCATGCGCCATTTGAATAAAGTAATTGATATTTTTTTGAATGGATTTGGCAACTTTGTTTTTTATCCTTGGAAGGATGGGAACTTATATATTAAAATAAGGATCAACCAACACATACTGTATAGATACTACAATCATTAAAATTTTTTTTAAAAAATATATCATAAAAACTTGTCTCTTTTCCAAACATCAATTCCACAATTTTTATACATTAATTTTGAAAGGACAACTCGCCCTCTCTCTCACTCTCTCTCTCTCTCTCTCTCTCTCTCTCTCTCTCTCTCTCTAGGACAAGTTGATGAGATCATTTTGGCCAGTGGCCAGAGGACAAATTCGCCTCGTGGTCAATTTGGCCTATGCTGATCTTCAAATCTCAGATCAGTTTATGTAGATTACTAACTTTATTAAGCAAACAATACGATCGGGGTCACTAATACTAGCAATTCATAATTAATACATCACGTGCGTAATGATTAACTAGCCATTGTAACACTAGTTTAGCAATTAATTTTTCGTAAAATGTTGATCAATCATAATCTATGTAATTAATTTTGAGTTACGTAAAAATAACATTTTTAACCAATAATAGAACTAATATAAGAGTGCCGCTTGAAATTCAAATTGAGTTTTAAATATTTGAAGCGAATATTCAAATATTATTCCAGTGATTTATTGTTATACAAAGGATAATTCTAATTTTTTATTCTCATTACGTCGGCGGCTTAAAAGTAAATTTGTGCCGATCATTTATTATTGTCTCGTATCCCCCGAATTTTTTCTTTTGAATAAACTTAACAAAGACCTTTTGATATTTTTAAGCTGCAAAAACCGTGCTTTTGCTTGATTATAGATTAACATAGAAGGTCATTCAAGTATATTTTAAATTACTTTTTAGGGTCGGAATATTTAAATTGATCAAATACAAATTATTCTATTGGATGAAAAAACAAAGAATGAATTCCTATTAAATAATAAAAAAACTATAAATGCATAAATAATTTTCGTTTTTTTAAAGAAAAATCTATTTAATTACGATCTGTTTATTAAAAAAATAAATAAAAAATTTCTTTTGTAAAACAAATTTCATTACTTTATTCTAACCTTGTTTATACGTCTTAAAAAAAATCTTTATTTAATTAGAGGTTGTCGATCTGGAGGCTTGGAAAAATTTATTTTTATTTATGCAGTATGATAAAGAGATCTACCAAGTGCTTTTTTTTTCTTTTCTCTGTAATTCATTTTTTAAATTTTGAATTTAATTAATTAAAATGCAAACTACCAATAATCAGAATGAGTCCGTTGAAGAATATATCTCAAGAAAAAGTATCA